CCAGCCACTCCACAGGAAAAAGGTGTAACACTCTGCTTCTGAAAATACTTAGGCTTGGAATGGAATTAAAATTCCCATGGATTCCAGGTTTTCTAGAGATATAGAGGATTTAAACCTTTAATCAAGAACATCATTTGAAGGCTCTTAAAATGGAATAACAGCATATTTTGACTAGTGAAAAAAATTTGTTCCACCTTAAACATTATGCTCTTTTAAGAAATAACTATATGCAACAAAATTATTAACAACTGAAAAGACTAGAGGGAAATTTTAGGGACAGTGAATTTACATTAATAAGGGAGGAACAGAGGTCTGGTAGCCTAGTGGCAAAAAGATGCACTGCAATTTAGAAGACAAACTGTTCTAGGCCACCAACTGCTCCTTGGGAAAAGAAAGGGCAATCTCCTCCCAAGTGATTAACTGTCTCTAAACACCCACTGGGGGGTCAGTTACGGGTGGGTTCCACCTTGATGTAGACAACAAGGGACAAACAACTCAATAAAAAGGGGGGTTGATGACTCACAGAAAGTAATCAATGTCACTAAATTATATATGTGTCGAAGCTGGTAAATATCAAATCATTACGAGCCAGCTCAATTCTGTGGCAGTAGGTTACATACAATGTAGAATATTTCTATCTCTCCAGAAAGTTCTTGCACTTTCCTCAGGGAATCATCCCATATCTTCCAAGAGACAACCTCAGTGCTTCTACAGGATAAGGTATTATTGTCATGACAGGAATCTAGAAGGAAGGCTGCACAGTGAAGTGGATTGGGGTGGGGGGGGGTAGGTAATGTATAACAATGAAGAAATTTTTCTTTTACTTTTCAAAGAAAAGAGCGAACTTGGGTGGAGGAGTGGGCAGGGAGAAAAGTGCAACAATGAATGAATGGAAATCCAAAGTCTCTATAAACTTTCATTAAAATTAATAATAAAAAAGGGGGGAAAGAATGAACAAGAAAAAAAATGGCTTCCCAGTAATAAAACAAAACAAAAACAAAACCAAAAAAACCTAATCTTCATTTTTCCTTCCTTGAATATTCTATAAATAAGTCCATTTATATGTAGGTTGCAGAGTTTAAGGTTTTGCTTTTGTCTATTTTTTTGAGGAGCTTTAGTGGCTTAGTAGTAAGGGCTTGTGCTAGCAATACAGAGATGCACAGTTTTAATTCATCAGCTACTTTGCAGGAGAAAGATAAACAGGTTCTTCCTGTGCAATGTACTGCCTCTGAAACCTCACCAGAGGATCAGCTATAGGTTACTTCTGACTCAATGGTGAAAACAACAGTAACTGTTTTGTCTAATTAATGAAATTTGTCTATGCTGTTGCCTAGATTAAATGTCAATTTGTCTTTTGTGATTATTGATGTTATGCTTCCAGACAAACTTTTTTGCTCGTTAATCTTAAAAATACAAGAGCACCACTTTCCTTTCTTACAGCTAAATAACTAAGTCAGGGGAACATTGGAAAATGATCTGGTGGTCTAAATGATGCTCATTTGTCTTAATTTCTGACTACACAAGTTTATTGTTAGAGTTCATCAAGTCAATTCCCACTCATGGAGACCCTATATGTGTATCAGAGCAGAGCTATGCTCCAGGTTTCCAAAGCTATGACCCTTTGGCAGCATATGCTCAAGCTAGTATTCCAAGGAGTCTCGGGGTATGTTTGAACTTCTGACATTTTGGCTAGTTAGTCAAGCAATTAAGCATTTGTATAAAACTCATTTTTTATACTATCCAGGGGCTCTTTGATTTCAGTGTTTTTAGAGTGCTTATTATTAAGATATTGGAACCTCGAAAAGTTAGTGTCGGTGGGCTATAGGTAACACTGGAGTTACAAATTGAGTCTTCTTGTTGTTAGGTGCCATTGAATCGAGTACAACTCCTAGTAACCCTATGAACAACGGATCTGAACCCTGTCCTACCCTGTGCCATCTTCACAATCTCTGACACACTCAAGGCCATTGCTGCAGTCACTCTGTCAATCCACCTGGTCCAAGGTCTTCCTCTCTTTCTCAGCCCCTCCACCTTTCCAAGCATGAAGCCATTCTACAAGTAATAACCACTCCAAACAACATGCCCAAAGTATGTGAGATGAAGCTTCATGATGTTTGCCTCCACGGAGCACTCTGGCTGTACCTTCTCCAAGATAGATGGTTTTTCTTTGGCAGTCCATGAGGTACCCAGTACTCTTCTCCAACACCACAGTTTAAAGGCATCAATTTTTCCATCATCCTTATTCATTGTCGAGCTCTCAGCATCACAGGAAGTGATTGAAAAGAATATAGCATGAATCAGGTGCACCTTAGTCCTCAAACTTGCCTCACTGCTTTTCCATAAGTTGGAAAGGTCCCTCACTATGGTTTCCCAGAGCAATATGTCTTCTGATCTCCTGATTGTTGGTACCCAGTGGACTGATTGTGAATTCAAGCAAGATGAAGTCATTGATAATCTCAATCTTTTCTCCATTTATCATGATGTTGCTTTGAGGTGGTGAGGATAAATAAAGGTAGTCATGATAAATTGAGGTAGTGACCTTTGAAATAATAGAAAACAAATGGAGGGAGGCATTTTCGAAGTGAGATATACAAAGAAGGCATGTTCTGAGGTGCAGGTGCTACATAAGGAATTTCACATGCATTAGACTCAATGCTTAAGCTGCTCCACAAACAAGTAGCATCTGATATGAAAAAAGAGAAATACAAGAATGCATCCACTGAAAGAGAAAAAACTTGAACAGAGTCTGCTAAGAACAGTAATGGGAGAGTCCATCCACATAGTCCATATATTCTTGAAGATTGAGGCAATGGAAAAGACAATTTAATCAGATATTAAACTATTCTACTTGGAAATGTTACTCAAGCTTGAGTTGTAGCAGGCCATGTTTCACTGCCTTTTCACCCCCTCTGGTGGAAGTGCTAAGCATCGGTCTTCAGGTCAAAGCACCAGTAGTAAAAGGAGCTGAAGAAAATGAGATGGATATGCCTTTCTCACTTTCATAGGTATATAAATTAACTGGGATATTGTTGATATTCACATAGCCTGAGGATATCATTGAAATTCAGATTCTGGGTAAGTCGGTTGAAGCTTAAACCCGAGATTCTTCATTTCTAACAAGCCTTCATATTTGCCATTTCTTGTTAGCAAGGATTTAAAGCATCAGTTTCCACCAGTGGAAAAGTTTCTGTCTGAGATTGACCCCACGGAATTGACATGGAATTGATCTCTAACTATGGCCCAACCCACAGATTGGAGAGTTTCGGTTCAGTTGAGATGTTTTCCTAGTTGTTCCAGTTATTTACGTCTGTAAAAGTCATCAACGACGTCATTGGAGTCTGGTTAGAACACAGAATGATGACTTTTTTTTCATATGGAATTGGATTTTTATTTTAGAGAGGACATGTCCAATCCACTCATCTTACAAATCGGGAGGCTGACGCACAAAGAGATACAGTCATCTGACCAAAGTCACACAACTAGTTAATAGCAGTAAAACACTAGTCCTCATGCTATCTATCAAAGTCAATTCCCATTTTTTCTGTTTCTCAAAAGCAATTAGAGTAATTTCTTCTAAATCCCATAGGTGTGTCCAAGTCTTACATGGCAGGGCACAGGCTTCAGGGGAAAAAGACAGTATTCATCTCATTTTGACAGTTTTCTTCATATTAATTTGTAATTTAGTGTCCTTCTTTCCCATTGAGGGGAGCTCTCTTGGTCTAGTGATAAAATGTCGTGCTGCAGTCCTATAGGCACATGGTTCGAATCAACCAGCTGCTCCAAGGAATAAGGATGGACAATTTCCTACTGTGTGATTTACTACCTCTGAAAATTCACTGGAAGGTCAGCTTTGGGTTGATTCTGACTCCACAGCACACAATAACAACATGACAGGGAGATCTGCTGGCTTGTTGTTGTTGTTGTTGTTAGGTACCATCTAGTTGAGTAAGACTCAGCAACACTGTAAACAATAGATCTGAATACTGTCCTATCCTGTGCCATCCTCACAATCTCTGTTACAAGCCCATTGCTGCAGTCACTGTGTCAATCTATCTGGTCAAAGGTCTTCCTCTCTCAGCCCCTCCACCTTTCCAAGCTTAATGTCCCTCTCCAAGGAAAGCATGTGTGGCACAGGATACACAAGTAGTAGCAAGAGGAGAAAGCATTTTACACCCTGTGTACACGGTTTCATTTAGGCACAATTTTACTTAGTGGTAAAGAATTTCACTGCCAATACAAAGCACAAAGTTCAAATCCACCAGGTGTGCCTTGGAGAAGGGTGAGGGGGCTATCTCCTCCTGTGGGATCTACTGCCTCTGAAAACCCATTGGAGAGTCTGTTAAGGATGGATTCCAACTCGAAGGTGGTGGTGGTGGTGGTGGTTGTTGTTAGGTGCCATCGAGTTGAGTACGACCCTATGAACAAAAGATCTGAAACTAGTCTTGTCCTGCACCATTCTTAAAACTTGAAGGTACCCAAGAACAATGAATCAGAATCTACTGGGCTGCAATGGAATTAGAAGGAAAACATTAGACTCAGTCATACTATAATCACCTGTTGAATATGGTTAATCTTCATTTTATTTTATCCTTTTAACTTTAATTCTGTTTCTTTAAACAGGATATACTAGCTTTTAACTAATAACTCATTGAAACTTACCAATTAATAAGTGTATGTTGACTGAACAATTTGGAAAATTAATGAATCATTGATTATTATATTTAGATAAGAAATCCATCATGCATAATCAGAAAATCAATGGACTTCAGAAAGATTCTCTCTTTAAGCCAAATTCAAATGGTTTAGCCATAGGCTATGCAATTTCAAATTCTTTAATCCTTGACATCAAAAATCACTTTGGAGTACTTAAATGAGTTTCATGCCTGACAGAGTGGAAGGTGAATTTCCAAACTGCCCTCCCAGGAAAAAAAAATAAAAATAAATAAAAGGCACGAGAGTAAATAAAAAGTTTCCGGATCACTTTACACAGATAAGCGTAAAATGCAGATGAGCAAAGTGAGGGGGCGTGTGAAATCGTTTGTAACAAAAACACATTATTTACAGATGAGAAATTTATATTGTCAGCGTAATATCTGTGAGACTAAGCAGAGCTGGAGAATATATAAAAGCAGAGCACTGTGGTGCAGAAGTACCCAGCTCAGGACACAGCACACTTACTTCAAAGTTCTGGAAGAAGCTTCTCCCTCTCTCCACCTGCTGGTCCCACGTCACAGCATCGAAGGTAGGGCTAATATCCAATAATGGCAAGATTACAGATCCTGGTTGTGGTCAAGTTAATATTCCTAAGGGATAAGAGCACTGTGAATTCAATTGTGGGGTTCTTTAAGTTCTTTTAATCTGTACTTTATTCTTAATAACTCATGGGGCAGAATGAGATGTAAAGTGGTAGAACATGCGTTTGTATCTACTTCAACGTAGCGAAGCTCTAAAGGGTGCCAGGGAAATAATTCCGTTTGAAGCAATAAAGAGAAAACAAATACATCAATATACTGACTAAACTGTCATATGAACTGCATTTGAATGTAAGTAGGAACATTTTGAAAAAGAAATCATTTCCGCTAGATTTAATACATATATATACTGCTTTGAACAGAAGGCGCCGTTTGAATTCTCCCAAAATGGCTCTATTAAAGAGGCTATGACAGAAATTCCTCTTTACCAATTAAAACCTCTGGGTTTTTTTTAAAGACCAGAAAATCTAAAATTCAAATCATCTTTCAAATACCCAAATTTCTAATATTGCTGTCAAAAAAATCAAAGTCCATGAAACCAGCTAGGATGTGGCACTACTTGGTCAAAGATAAAATATTGATAACTTTGGATAGGTGTGAGTAATCAATAATTACTCACTATTGATTAAAAACCAAATGCAATTATTAAAATCTAAGAAGTATACTTTCTGGAATAAAATTCCATTAAAAACTCTTTAGGGAAAAAAGTACCTACAATATTTAAGTTCCCAAAACAAAGACCAGTTTTACTGAAATTTTGAAATAGATTAAATGGTGTGAATTTGCTTATATATTTTCTAGTAGAGAAAATTACCTACCTTATTTGACTTATATGTAGGGACATAATACGATGTCTTCTTTCCTTGGTCTAAGATGAATCTTTCTGAAAGACTTTCTAAACAAGAAAGTTACTATTACTATAATGTACTTTTAAATTTGAGTTGGAAATTATAATTTTTACCAAACCATAGTCTCTCCTTAGTCCACATGAAAAAGGGGAAGTATTTTGAAAATATTCTCTTATAAAGATTTTGATAATAAAATAATTTAAATGTTTACATTTTCTGCAATGATATCCAAATACTTCATTGATAAAATGTCACAATTTCATGACAGATGGGAAAAAAGTTCTTTCTTTCAGTAGCTCTTATTTGCCTGTCAAGAACTTTGCATATTCACTTCTTTATGGTTTTCTTCTTCCAAGTGCTCCCACAGAGGCAGTCTCAATAGAATATGATAGAAGGTATTGCAAAATCTTTTTAGGAACCTTGGATAGAGGGAATTACTTACAAGTAAATGGTTAGCAATCAATCTTCACAAGAAACTTCTCAACAGTGGTATCATCATGAAAACATAACAGCTTATTTTGATGTTTTAAAATTCCTAAAAACATAAATAATATAAAGGAGAGTTATTCTCAAAAGATACTATCTAAATATATAGAAGCATTCCCACAAAGTTTTCTGGAGCATAGAAAAACATCATATTACTAATTTAAGGTTGAAAGAAGAAAGGTGAATGTGTCATTTCTATTTTTGTTGTTTTGTTTCATTCATAAAAAAAAGCCTTGATCTTTCAAAGCAAAAAGTTGCTGCTCAAGGTAGTACAGTATCCAAGTTTTGGTGCCAGAGACAGATAGTAAATATGGCTAGGATGTTAAGGAAAAGATTGATAGTTTTAAATGATAATATTTGTAAAATCCTTATTTCAAACCAAATGTCATTTGCTAAAAATACTCATTCAAATTATTTATGGGTAAGCATAATCTAACTTGGATTGAAATTCCCACATTTCAAAGTCAGCATGGCTGGGCTTGAAAGTAAAAGAGAGAGAAGTCCATGGCAAATTCCGGACCTGAGGTTCTGCTAGCTCAGTGTGGGCATGGCCACACTCACATTGGCCTGTGTGCACACTCACATCACGTCCTGGGTGTACATCTGCTTCTAATACTAGGAAAAGCAACCAGGTGGATCAGTCAACCAGGTCTGCTGTGTCACTAGCAACAAATGACACATCTTGGACTAGGTCCAACTATAAAACAACCTGGAGACTCCAAGACTTCAGAAGCAATGACTGATTTTCTTTATGACAGTAATCTCTTACTTTCTTAATTGTGACTGTTCAAATTGCCAGAAGCATTAGTTCTCATTGCAAATTGCTTGTCTTTAAAATGATTTTCCCCCCTTTAATTTAGAACAGGTCAAAGCACCCTAAAATACCTCAAATCTGTTGGCCGCTTTATAATTACAAAGTCTAGACCAAGTTACACTATTTAAAATATAAATGAATAATACATCTGAACCGACAGCTGGTATGCCAACTTGTAGCCTGAGGCTGCTTTAAGATGGTTGAAATGCAGTATAATGTAAATGCTTGCAAGTGAAGGACTATTAATTGAAAGCCAGACTGATAGTGAAGGGGGGCAGCATTATGGATAAGGTGCCATTCAGGCTAACCATATGTAGCGTATCATCCACAGAGGATATTTTAAATGTTTATCATGGTCATTTTCAATTTCAGTTTCTGGAAACGAGCCTTCTAATCATTGACAGAAGTGTCCCACATTAATGAAAACCTAAATGGCAGAACGCATCTTTTGTGTCCCTTATGGCTTCTAAAAATCCTAGGGGTAAAATATACTCTATTATTTGAAATTAAACTGGAAATATAATCAGAATAAATCTGACTAGATTGGGTTTTCTTATTCTAGTTAGAATGTATACTTAATTTAAAAAAATCAAACTAATTTAGCCTTACTGGTTTCAATATGATTGCTTGCTTCTGTTAACCTGTTAACCCTGTGATCTGACAGGCAGCAAAATGAAGAGCATTTATGTGGTGGCTGGATTATTTATAATGCTGGTACAAGGAAGCTGGCAATATGCCCTGCAAGACACCGAGGAGAAATCCAGGTAGAAATCCTAAGGCTTGAACTCACAAAGCACTATGTTTAGAGTACTGCTTATGAAAACTGTGATTAGTAAATAAGGTCTCAGTAACTTTAGGGTAAATACTTTTCACACTAAATCCATATGTTTAGAGTATCACTGTGATAAAAGCAAGCTTTTCTGGAGGATGAATAAAAGTGTGTGTTTTTTCATAACTAAAGCAGTAAGAGATGTTGAAAATATGCTACATGAAAAATGTGAACATTTTTCATTCTTCAGATTATCCTTTCTATCCATTCGTATCCTATCCCCACTCTGCGTAGATTGTTTCATTCCCACCAATGCTTTTCTCTTTGTTATTCCTTTTCAAGAAAACTGCATTGTTTCTTGGTAATTTTAAATTTTACACATGTTCATTTACTCATACATGTTCATATGAAAACATACAAAAGTATTTTAAGTCTGCAAAATTCTACTATCCAGAAAAAAACTACACAATTTGGTTTATTACATCCATGTATTTTTTTCCATATACAGAATACAAGTATTTCTCAGTACATAACACAGTTTTGCATTATACTTTTTTCACTTAATGTCATATTGCTAGCTTTTTCTGATATTGTTTAAAATATCTATTAAAAGTATAGTTTAATGTTTGCATTCTAATCCACATGCAATGTCCAATATAAGAAGCTATTCCTTCTCTATTAGAGGTCTGAAAATTTTTTCACTACAAATAATATTGAAAACAATTTTCAGTTTATGCATTTTCTCTATGTTTTTAATTATTTTTTTAGATAGTGGTACAATTACTATGTGAGTAGATTTGAATACAATTTGTTATTTGCTGTTGTTAGGTACCAATAAGTTGACCATGACTCATAATGACCCTAAGAACAACTAGGATCCAAAGTTTAAGTCTTTTGTAATATCTTGCAAATTAGCTTCCCAGAAAAATCATTCCTGCACAAACTCATCAGCAGTATAGAAATATAATCTCACAGTGACCTGGTAATTAGTTAAGCTTTGCTGATTTCACAGGCAAAATGGTATCTCATTATTGTTTTAATTTCTATCAGCATATTAATCCCATTGACTATTTTTCCATGTATTTACCATGCAACCAACTGTTGATTAATAATATGTGGATTATCCACTTTGTAATTTCAAATGAGCAAGTGGGATTTTTCTTGTCTTTGTGCTTTTAAAAATCTGTCTTCCTCTATTAGCTACTATATTAGAAGGTACTTGAGTTTTGTTTTGTATTAATATATGCAAAGTAGAATTGGACCCATAAATCTGCTTCATAAACTAGTCATTTGGAACTTTCACTCTTCTAAATATTCAAGTCAGTGCTCTTTCCTGCCACTATTAGCATAATCATGAGCAGATTAATTAGTTGAAAAAAGATTTATTTAATCTTATTTTTTGGAAGCAGGAGTGACATCTACTTCCTAAACAACATGCTTCTGGAAACTATGAACTTTGATAAACGACGATAGCTATAGAAAAGCTTCAGTCCTTTTGTTCATAGGCTCGTTATGAGTCGTGCAGAACTCAATGGCAATCAACAACAACAACAATGACAACAATCTTATTTCACACACAAAAAAATACTCAATTGAGTAATTTGTTACTAGACTTCAGAATAGGAGCATACTCAACCATAATTAAACTATGATATGCTGATGAAAATGTATGGTCGATTTGCATTAAGCACTGATTTAGCATAGACGTCTGTATTACTGCTTCTTAGAGCTCTGCATTTTGTAGGGAAGAGGAGGCTGAGAGAGTTTGCAGATTTTCACGATGCACCAATCACTGTTCTTCACAGATCAGTCCCAGCTTCCCCAACGGACTTGCTCAATGATTCGGATGAGATGATCGAAGACAAACGCCATTCACAGGGCACCTTCACTAGTGACTACAGCAAGTACTTGGATTCCAGACGTGCACTGGATTTTGTGCAGTGGTTGATGGACACTAAGAGGAACAAGTAAGACTTTTGAAAACAGCACCTACATTTGTACACAAATACATCTTCAATCTCTCCTGACTTCCTTAGTTTTCATGCTCATCAAATAACGGCCATACAGTCTTTACAGTTTTGCACTTCCCTAGGATGATACTGCTGCTCTCCTTGGTATTTTCTTTCTTAACACCCCATTCTTCACTCCTCTAAATACTTATCTACCCTGAACTGTGACATAGACCTTAAATTCTTCTCCCAACTGTAGTCTTAGCAATATTTACTCTCTTACACATTTTCCCTTAAAACTGAGAGCCGACTTTTATGGAACATGCAGAGTTTGGACTATAATTTCTGATAGAACAAATGCAACCTCCTCTTCTCGGGTTCAAACTATGATTGGGATCACATTAAAATTATGCCTAGCCACTTAAATCATGGTAAGGAATAGAAACAAATGCATTACTTTATTTGTAGAATGCAATCCAAGATAGGCATTTAAAATTACAGCCTAGCTGCACAGCATAAAGAGAGAAGAAGGCAACTAATGCAAGCCTATATTACAGCATGCATTTTAATGTTGGACTTCCTTGACGAGTGTTGGGTTGGTTTCTGTTGCGTGTGGGCTACTGGAGGAAATCATCTGCAAGGGTTTCACAGAAATGGTGGAATTTCACAATTTCTTTGGATAGTAGCCCACAAGAGGAAGGGAGTTCTGCATACAGAGTAGCTGAAGGAATCTAAAATTCAGGAAGAGAACATGGATTTGTCTGGATAGGATGGAGAAGGGAGGGAGGAAGAGAGAAGAAATTATGCAAGAGCAAGGAGAAGAGGAGAGAGAGAGTGGCTACTACTCTGAAAGTGTAGGGTATATTTAACTATAGGAAACATGCTGTCAGAGTCACAGAGATGTTGGGAGAAGTCCCTGATAAGTTCAGGGAAGGCCATCAGTGAAATGCAAGAAACCACAAATTTCTTTTTAAAAAAGAAAAAAAATATCCTATTTTCCAGAAAAAAGATGCCAAAACTGGTTACATTAACTCCTAACAGTACTTACTTATAGGTGATTTCTGTGGTGGATTTAAAATTAAACTCTCCAGGGTTAACATATGTCAGAGAACTGCTGACCGCCCACTTCTACAGAGCATTCTGTTACACTTGGTGATATGGAGTCTGTCTTCTTAGCTTTCTTCATTGCTAATTGATCACATAACTCCTCTAATCCATTATCACATGGTCTTTTTTAACAATAGTTTGAGATTCCTGCCCCCCCCCACCCCGTCCTTTGCTTTCCTTTAAAACAATTAACTAAGTCTGACCCAATGCTTACTTATAGCAAATGGCTTCTTTGTTGAAGAGTAGCATCATAAAATAGAGAATCTATTTCTTTTTGCATCTTTTTGTAACCAGTGACATAGATAACAGGAGAGGTAAAAACAAGTATCCTGATTGGGGGCATTAGCCTCTCCTTAATTGTTAGTCCTTTCAGTCACTCTTCAGTCCAGACAACCAAGGTCAATTCAAGACTAGCTCCTCAGCCATCCCCCCTTCTCTGAATCTCCCTAAGCCCCTCCTACATAGAATTCCAAACTCAAAGCTGCCACTGCTTATAGGTGAGAAGCATATTGCCAGAGAGACAGATCTTCAATTTAACGTTCACATTTCTTTCAGGAATAACATTGCCAAACGTCATGATAAATTTGAGAGACATGCTGAAGGGACCTTTACCAGTGATGTAAGTTCTTATTTGGAAGGCCAAGCTGCCAAGGAATTCATTGCTTGGCTGGTGAAAGGCCGAGGAAGGAGAGAGTAAGTCTGTACATTCTTATTTGACATTATTTCTTTTTTCTTTGATGGTGAAAACTTAAATCTAGACTTATCTCTATAAGGATCTGGATTAGAGAAGCTATTAGTATAGTTAAAAAAAAAAGAAAGGAAGGAAGGAAATAACTCCAGATGGTGGGAAACAGTATATAAAATTCTGGTCTGTTTTCTCTTTGGTGATACACCATCTCCCATCAGTCTATCCAGACTCATCGTGACCCTATAGAAGGATAGACTGGAAGTGCCCCGTGTGTTTCCAACGACTTAAATCTTTACAGAAACAGTCTTATCATTTTTTTAAATTTTTTGAGGTGTGACTGGTAGGCTTAAACTATTCACCTTTCCATTTTCACCATAGTGCTTAGCTGTATCACCACAACCCCTTTATCTTTGGTGGTGCTGTTGTTGTATGCAGTCTAGTTAAACTGACTCATAGCTGACTCTCCAGCTTGTTTAAAGAGGCTGTAAATCACACTGGAGGAGAATGCCCAATTTTCTCCCACTATCTTTGGTAGAAAGCATTAATAATAGAGTCAAACAGGTTATGCATTTATTCCTCATTATTTTATTGCTGTTTTAATTAGTGCATTAATTTGTAATCCAAACAAGTGTCCTTTGGAGAGTAAATATGAAGCTTTATTGAACTACACCAGAACACGTTTACCTAGCCCTATTCCAGAAAAATTAGGGATAAAGAAAAAGAGGAAATAAGGCTGATAACCAATTTGATGCTAAATGTCTACATAAGGATAATATATATTTCTGCATTTGTGAATTTTCAGATAAAAATTTGGTGAAGACAGGAAGGAACCAAACATAAGATGTTTAGAGAAATTAGATACTCAACAGGAAATATGCAAAAAAAGAAAAAGTCTATACATTAACTAGCCAATGTTTTATGGGATTTTCATTGAAGTATGCATGAAATAACCAATGTTGAAAATGGAATTAAGATCTAGCTCATACTCTCATGATCATTTTGGTTGACGTTTGAAATATGAGTGGCAGAAAATGTATTAAAAAAATCAATGATTTTGTTCTCATGCCATTCTTAAATACACTGGAATTTAAAGAAGACTCAAAACAAAGGGGAAGTAGTATTGCGATTTGGCTTTTAAAATACTAACGATCAAACTTGCAAAACTAACGGTAATATAATTGCTTACACCTGAAAACATTTTAGGCCCTAAAAGGATACTAAAAAAATCTTGCTATGGTAAACTGATGAAAGAGAAAATCTAATACAGACTTAGCTTTAATCTCTTCACTTTAGTTTATTAAACTGTTCTGCAAACACTGTCTTTACGGTTTTGTTAAATTGTAAGCAAATGAAGAGTCTCAGCAATAATTTCTGTTTTTGCCAATAGAGTAAAATTTTTTTAAGCAATCTGGAATATTGAAAAGGGCATGGAGTCGCACAGGCTTGATTTCAGATCCTGTCTCTGCTCCTTAATGCCTGAAAATTTTCCTATCAGACACTCGCCAGTTCATATTGATTTTTGAGATTTTTTTCACAGTAGAACTTCAACAAAGAGAAACTCATTGTTTGATCAACTCTCACAAGTGTCAGCAGTGAGAGACAATCAATAAGCCCTTAAGCAAAACAATTCATTAATTTGAACGCTCTATTTTTTAGTTTACCAGATGAAGTCGCTATTGTTGAAGAACTTAGTCGCAGACATGCTGATGGATCTTTCTCTGATGAGATGAATACAGTTCTTGATAACCTTGCCACCCGAGATTTTATAAACTGGTTGCTGCAGACCAAAATCACTGACAGGTGAATGCACTTTAGTAAATTCTAAAAGCTATCAAAAGTTTCCTAAGTATTTATTATCATATTACCACAGATTGTTCTTCATCTAATGAGTTTTTGCTTTCACTAGTTTTAAAATAACTTGCACGCTTATTCATTGGAAGTACATTACTGCATTGTTTTTTGACCATTGCAGTTTTATTAATTCACTCATTGATTCCAAAAACATTCACTGCATGTATATAAGGGAGGAGACATTTGGGGAAAAAAACACATGAATAAAACATAGAGACTCTAAAGTCTTTTACATATTATTACTACATTGCAAATTATATATGTTGAAGTTTCGGTGCAAAGATAAAATGCCAAATTACATAGCATTATTGATTTAATGTAATAAGCTAAACACCAAAAGAATAATCACGTATCTTGAATGATGTTAATTACTGTTTATATTTTTTCATAACTGTGGTTTTTATAAGGACATCTTAGAGGGAATCATATATATTTGTATCATTTAAATTATTTCAGTTAAATCATCTTTGCAAATATTCAGTCCAGAAGATTGAGGCATTTATAAGATAAAGGAATTGATAAATAGATTTTATGAAAGAGAATCATTGAAAATATCTCCTGAGTATGTTAATAGTATCATCTGGATATTATAGCTATGATAAATCACTGACTTTTTTTTATTTCTAGGAAATAAATTATGTCACCGTTCAAGATTATCTTCATAATAACACCTGCCAGGCATTTGAGCTGTTTAAAATTTTAAGTTCTGTACATTTAAAAGATGTATTCTGAAGCCATATATGTTGCATGCCAATAAATGAGTTTTCTGTAGCCAAAAGATTGTAAATGGAATAAACTATTGTGAAAAGATTGCTAAAATATCAGCTTTAAAATATAAAAATGCTGTTATTACCGTATTTCCTTCTTATTTTTGATGAAAACATTCCAATTCACATTTAGCAATGAAATTATTTTTCTATATCAATTTGTACATATTAATCATTCCAATCACAACATAAATGCATTATACTATATCATGGAAATGCTGGTGGCCACGGTGATAAAACTGAAGAAAGCATCCTTCTTGGAACCACTGTCATAAAAAAAAATGCTTAGCATTCAAAATGTCAAAGATAAACTGAAATAAAATGTACAAGCTTCTTCACCATTGTCTTTGTTTCCTTTGTTTTCCTCTATTCCTGGAGTCCATAGTCCTTCCAAACACTCCTACTTTCTAAACTGGTAACCAACAAGCTAAATCCATGGACTTGACTTCATGCTTTGAATGGATACACATTTTAAGTTAACATTGAAAACTCAAGATGTTTTGCACAAAAGAAATATCAATTCCTAGCTTTTCGGGGGGGGGAGGAGCGAAATACATCAGTAAGTATTATTAGACCCAAAAGAGCAAATCTCCCTGGGAGCTGAAAAGCAACTGCCTCTTTCTGAACCATCTTTACATACTCTTCAGTTCACAACAGTGCTCCTACACACACACACACACACACACACACACACACACACACACCTGCTGAGTGTACATGCAAATCCTTCGCTGCCTGGCGTCTGCAGGTATCTGAACTCACCATCAGATCCTATATCTTTTTCTTCCCATGCTGTGTCGTCCAGTCTCTTGAACTAGCCTGCTGGTGATTGATAGCTCTGAGATTTTTCTCTGCCATATACCTTGCAAGACTCTTTATCTCTATAGAACCCATATAACTAAGAAGCTCCCAATAGTCTGTCAATAAAATGTCAAAGCTTGGAAGTTGTTTATGTATTTTGCTAGATGAGAAGTTGAGGTGGTAACTATAGTAATGTTATTCTTTCCCACTGCATACTCACTAGCTTTTCCTTCAACCTAACCTCATTGTTGTCAAGTCAGAACCAACTTATAGCTGACCCTCCAGCATGAGGCTGTAAATATGGGAGGAGACTGCCCATCTATTCTACCATGGAGCCACTCACTGGTCGACTCAAAGTGTCAGAGAGGTGTCATCTGTGGGTTAGCAGCACAGCTCCCTATGGACTCTGCCACAAGAGCTCCCTACCTCTTCCAAAGCTGCATAAAAATGTGCAGAGATGAGGGAAATGTTTGAGTCCCTGGCAACTTTTGTGTCAATTCACCTTGTTAAGTGTCTTCTTTCCACTGATGCTCTACTTTATCAAGCAACATGTTTTTTTCTGCATGGCCTAGCCATTCCTGAAGGCTCTTTCCCCTCATTTCTAATTAATTCCAGCTTCCATGGATTCTGATTGCTTCTCCAAGTAAAGTTAAATTCTTGACTAGCAAAATTAGGGAAAAGTAAGGAGAAGTTGTCAATACTAGTAATATACAAGAGATAATATATGGGATGATCTTGAAATATTTCCAGATAATAAAATGATAAGAAGATAATATTTAAAGTTTTATGCCCCAAAAGTTTGACAAGTGAGAGGAAAAGGAAAACCTTTCATAGGAAAAAAATGTTACTAAAGTGGAGACTATAAAATCTTAGTAGTTCTCTCTCTCTATGATGAAATTAGAAACTCTTATTTAAAAGTCTTTCAGGAAAAAAGAAAAAAACAAAACAAAACCAACCCTATAGGCCCAGATGGCTTCACAGGTGAATTATTCTAAACATTTAAGGAAAAAAGACACAAACATTATATAAACTCTTCAAAACAAATGTTAAAGAAGTAATATTTCCCAGCTTAGTTTACAAGGTAGATAAAATCAGTACAAAAAAAATATGACAAGGATTTTGCAAAAGAGGAAAATGGCAGGTCAATATATAATAAATACAGATGTAGAAACTCTATACAAAATACTAGTAAACCAAATTCAGAAATATTAAAAGGAATGAGTAACACAACACAAATAATGTTTATTCCAGGAACTGTGACTTAAAATCAATATGATTCAGAACATTAACATAAATAAAAAAGGAGAAAATTAATTTTGAATTTTCATTAAATGAACAAGCACACTTGATTAAATTAAAAACCCATCATGATTTTTAAACCCTCAGAAGGAGGTAATTTAAAAGGCAAAAGGAGTGAAAAGTAAGTAGAGGACAACAACAAAAAAATAAATCAGACTTTTAAATAAAAATGAAAGTTCTCAGAAAAGAAACAACAAAATTTGAAGCCGTTGGCAACCTGAGCAAGGGTAAGAAAAAAATGGTGAAGATGAACACGTGAAAATGTGCTGAGAACCAGCCATTGAAACGGAGGAATAGGAACTCATGCAAAATGCTGAAAAAATAGACTTGAAAATCCTGAAGGAATGAATTTTCTTCTTAAAGATGTAGTCTAAAATCATTACTTGCTTTCAAAGCTCACTATCTTTGAGTCACACCTATTGAGCTTCTGAAGCTGTTTGCCAGGGAAGAGCTTGCCTATTTTTCTCAGTGTGAGTAACAGATTCAAACTGCCCAATTGGCTCACCTTTTGGTTACCAGGACAAGCAACACCCTGCAGGCTATACCATCAGGTCTGAAATAGACCAATACCTATAGAGAAAACAAAGGCAAGTATCAAAGAGTTATCTTATGAAAAGGAGAGGCTCAGAGAGTTTCAAGTATGGCATTCACCAGACTTTTGTTGATAACTATGATACTATAGAAATGATTGCAGTGACTTGGGAGGGGTAAAAAAAATCCCATTTTTTCCCTTCATAATCATGTGAGTATAATATTGGTACCTCCATTTTTTATAAAGACACAACAAAAAAGAAATTACATAGGCCAATTTAATTTATGAATGTTATTGTTGTTGTTGTTATGTGCCGTCAAGTCGCTTGCGACTCATAGCGACCCTATGTACAACAGCCCTAAACTC